GAATGACCTTAAATGACCATCTGACCATGTCACAAGTGCTATAAATCATTGATTATGAAAATATATTTTTAGACATCATAATTCTTATTGGAAGTAGTTTAAGTCGATATTTTGATAAATATATGTTTTGCGTGGCAGCCATTTTGAAATTCAAGATGGCCGCCAGAATGACCGCAAATGAAATATTGTAGTTCATAGTAACAATTTTGAATTCTGAGATCGTGGGTATAATGTAAAATTTGACAATTACATAATTTTAAAGATACCATACAATATTTGACCTTGAATGACCTTAAATGACCCATTTGTGGCAATCTGACCAGGTCAAATATGATATGATGGTATTCCTCGAACATATAAGCATACTCTTAGACATTAGAATTATAATTCAAAGTGATTTAGAAGCGGAGATATAGATAAAAATAGGTTTTATAAGGCTACCATTTTGAAATCCATGATGGCCGCCACAATGACCTCGGATGAGGTGGTTCCTACCAAAAATTGAATGCTATGACCATAAGGAGCATGTAAAAAAAATTTGGTGCTTTTGTCCGGAACGTCCACATCCATCTGCTAAGCTGCCGTACTACTATGCTCTTTTTTGTTTAGAACCTAAAAGGATAGATCCCCTTTTATGGGAATGTTCAACGGTGTATATAATTTGAAAACATTTTGAGCAATTGTTGTTTCAACAGTTAATCTCGTTATATCGTCATTGCGGACTTATAAAATCCGCATACGCCTTAAAACTAAAAGAAAATGCATACCAAAAAATCCGCAATGAAAATATAACGTGTTTAAAAGGCTGTTTTGTAAATTTTACAAACAAAATAATGCGTTTTGGCTTTGATAAACAATCCATCAATTAGCCTGGGTTCCATGCCCTAAGTTTAGGTTACTCACTCTTTATTGCACTTAGTGCGCACCATATCTAATTTAATTGGCGTCCCATACTCGATTTCTTTTTTTTTCGAATTATTCCGTCTATCTCTAAATTAACTTTATCGTTGGTGGCGCTGTCCAGAATGAGAAAAAATAATAACAAATAAGAGACTTGTGGCAAGTCTATCCATCAATGTGTTGTTTCAACTTTTTCTGGAGTTTTAAAGTATTTAAATGAATATTTCCCTTAATATAATGTATTTATTAAACGACTGTCAAAATAACCCTCTGTAATGATAAATATAATTATTACCCCCTTCTTTTACTCAGACTCAGTAATTATCATATTAAGCATTTTTTTTTTCTTGTTAATGTACTGGTTTCTGTGCTTTGTTTACATTAATATTATTAAAATTTACTTACACGTATAAATATAGGTATTGGACTATTTCAAGCATCAACTGGAGTATGTGTATGAAACTTATGAAGGAATCGGCTACAAGTTGAGTGTCCTTTGCACTTCGTGTCAACCAGCGCTGCAACCTCATTTTCATGATCTAAAGGATTGTTTGAAGAAAGAGAAAACCTGTCTGTCTTGTAAAGAGAAAGCAATGAAAACGGATCGTTTCCAAAAATTGTTTTTAACAGGTTAAATTAAAATATTATTTTGTAATATTTCTCAAAAGTCAAAATCAATCCTGTTTCGTTAAAAATAAATCAATTCCTTTTGCTTAACATTGCATTTATATCGTTTCATTTTTATAATTGCATGTATTAATTCTCCCCTTGTTCATTTCTATTACTCTTTTACTCTTGTTCCTTAATAATTCGGCCTTACCTTAATTCATTACACTGTTTTAATAGTTGAATATATTTAAACAATGATACTTGTTCTAATATTCACTAATAATATGATATTTCAATAATTAGGTACATATTTTAGAATGTTTGTGATGTTAATCTTAAAATTTTCATTTCTAAAATATAAAAAAATCGAAATTCTGCTTAAAAGCGAACTTACCTTAAACATTTATAAGAGTATTTATATACTCGTTTAGTTCGTTTGTTCATTCAACCACTCATACATTAACAATCAACTGCCAACCTGTTAAAAGTATACAGTCAACATCTTAAAAAAAAAATGTGTTAACAATTGAAGTGTATGTGCATTATTTTTTTCACATATGTAATGCTCCTTTCACATCTATTCAGGTTCAGGTTCCGTTTCCAGTTCCGGTACCGGTTAAGAAATCGAACTTCTGTTCTTAAACGCAGAAGATGTATTCTATTTACATCTCCTCCTAGCCGGTGGCCGAGTCCGGCATCCGGCAACCGGAACAAGTCCGTTCTGGGTCGATTTTTGTTACCGGATTTGAAACCTGAAGAAGTCTGACCAATTTGAATTCTTCACACAAATGCACAGATATTTTTCTTTTCTTTTCCTTTTTTTTTAAATTTTTACTTTCTTTTCCGGTTTCCAAGTAACAAACTAACGATCAGTTTATCCTCATCTCAACTTGAATCCATATTTGTTGTTGTTCTGTTGAGAATAAGTTCAGCAGAAAACATACATACCATAACTATTCCATATGAAGTGCTAACAAAGAAAATTGATCTTTAAAATGACCATGACATTAATTAGAACTAAAATATGAATTTAATTAAACGAATTATGAATTTACTAATTATAGGTCTATCTATTGTGCCCTACGATACCGCATCATATTTAACCATTATGTATCGCATCAGGTATTCATATTATCTAAAAGGAAGGAACCAAAAACTACACTATTTATGTATGTTACTAAGTCAACGAACTCGCCATCGGTAGACCTAGGCTGCACATAAATCATAGGCCTAATAAGATATTTTGTATTTGAACTATAGTAAATATAGAATATGTGTATATGATAGTAAAAATTAAAGTAACTTACGAAAAATAGTACGAAAAATGATATTAAAAGATTTTCAAAACATAAATAAAAATACGATACAACTCGCGACTTCAGCGTGATGCCAGTCAACCTGAACGGAAAACGCAGTGATTGAACATAATAGACAAAAACCGAACAATGAAACGGAACTGAAAACGGAACCTGAAATGGAACCTTAATAAATGTGAAAGGTGCTTATAAGCCGTTTTAATCGTTTTAATAAAAACAAATGTCTATAATAGGACACAACATTTGATAAATTTCAGTGAATGCTGATAATTCTTGAAATTTATTAAAGCTCATGCTTTAAATTCTTTTTTAAGATTTGAAAGAAGAGTTCATCGAGGAAACCAAAAATTTCCAGATAATTCAGTCATTGGTTGTCGACTATGGGACCTGCAAAATGAAAGATTTCTTCCTTGAAATAGTACAAAAAAGAAGCAGCTCTGTGCGTGAATTCCTGAAAAACGAAAAGGAAAGCTTGGCGAAATTAGAAAACTTTGAAGGTAAAGATAATATGCTTTCACCAGATGCTGACGTCAATACTTTCAGCATGTCAATCTTGATGACATTGATCCGCTTTTGCTTCCCAAAATATGATGACTTATGGAAGCAACCAGATGAAATAGCGATGGATGATCAGCGCCTTGCAAATCTCATCCTCATCCAGCAGTATAAAAATGACAAGTTGGATCAGTATACTACATGTAGAATACCAATCAAGGTCTTTGATGAAGATATAAAAACACTGGAAAACGTCTTTAGTGAACTTGATTTGTTATCCACAACAATTGACAACATGAAACATAGAAAAGGTAACTTAAACTAGTGGAAAGGTGATTCTTAATTTACAAAATATTGTTTATTTACTAATTTCAATACAATTATAATTATAATAATTATGCTGTGATTGAAAAATATTTCAAAACATGAACTTAATTCAAATCATGTAAAAATATGTGTTAAATTATTCGTTAATATACTATATTGATTTCAATCAATGATTTAACATTTTAATAATTTGTACAATTTTATATTAAATATAACTATTATTGGTATAATTTAGGACTATTATTATTTTACATTGATTTCCATGTCTTGACTTCAACTTAGTTCGTTTCTTTTTAAACAGATTTTGACATTGTAGAAATCATAGAAATTCGAAACTATCAAACAGTTCAGTCACTTCTTGTCGACGTTGGGACAAATGCGATGAGGGAATACTTTCTACGGGATTGTAACCTAAACGCGGAAGGTGTTGGGGAGTTTCTGTCAAATAATAAGAGCAAATTTAACAAAATAAATTTGTTACCAGAACAGAAGAAAATATTTGAGGGAGATGCAGACATTGAATCGTTCGATATTTCAACTATGAATAAAATCATTAGCACATGCTGCAACAATCCTCCGGTTTCTTTCAACCGTTTATGCAAATATAGAAATAACCTTGCACACCCAGCCCGAGCACGGATGTCGGAAAAGGAGTTTGATAAAGTTTGGTTATATCTGACTGATATATTGAAAAATGTTGGAGTGCGTATTGAAGAAATCGATAAATATAAACAACTTAGAGTACAGCTCTTTTCTTAAAAGTAAAATTCAATTTGCTATAAGTGATTCATTTTACGTAAATCCCAGTCACCACTTGTATTGAATTTATAATGGTCACCTACATTAAAACTAGATCAATTATAGGCCTAATATGTCTTGGCAATTGAAAGTCTTGGAAGATACTGTACATGTTTCGATTAACTCTAATGTAGAATTTGGATTGAAGTCGTGGTGTAATGTAGTTAGCAGTGTATGTATTTGGCTTTGACTATTTTCAATAGTCATTGCAATTGTTAGGTTGAAAAATTGTAATAGTTATTTTTATTATTATTATTATTATTATTATTATTATTATTCTCACCTATTATTTGTCAGTGTCAATATTAGTTTTCTTGATTATTGTTGTTATATGCCTTATATACTGTCTCTT